TCGCGGTGGGGGCGGTTTGAGAAACAACGAAACAATCTTAATTCCGGATTACAACTTAATTAAGCGTTCTATACAGCGTGAAGCGTCTGGGGTCTTGGAATGCAAATATTTTGATGCTTTTCTCCCCGTAAGCTCGACGGCCACCCTTCTAATTAAAATCAAGAGACCTGCGGCGTTTTGACGTCTTCCCCCACTTTTCCCCAAGCGCTGCGACGGGGCGATAAAAAAGAATATTGCGTTTGTTAATTTCCCCTAAAATGCACCGGCTTGCTTTTTTAATAACGAGGGTGCTTTCTGCCCTTTCCCCAGTTCACCCTCGCACTTTTATTCCCTGCCGTCATTCTTGTGATGTCTCGGGGAGTGAAATAACTTTGAAATAAGACATTTTGATTCTTTAAGATTATTTGACAATGTCATTCGCTGGGAGTTCATTACCTGGATTGTTTGTATAAGAATTTTATGTGTGGATTTGTATCCGGAAACTTGAACTCCTGTTGGATTACTTATCATAATTTCTTGGGAAATCCGTATACAATTTGCTATAAGAGATTCATTAGCAATACTGTATCTCCCCTTATAATTATGCATTTGTTTGTTCTAGCTAAATAACAAATTTCCTTTAGGATCGAATAAATTATCGATACTCCTGCTGTTCGTTTAGTATATTTATTCATCGTTCACAAAATTTAGGCGGTTTTAGAGGAAGAAAACTACCCTCCACTTGACTTTTACCAAATAATAGTTTAACAGCTGATTATGCAACATACATACAAAAAAGGTGGTGGGGAAACTTCCCCTTAAACGGAATAAGAGACACGTAATGGAATCATGTAAAAATGAAAGTTTTTGTGCAAAAACAATCAATTTTATCTTACAAACTAATAATATAACTGCGTGTTCACAAAATTTGGAAAATTCTTTATTCTATGAGCCCGAGACTAAATAAACTTTAAAATATTTCCACGTATCTTCGATGCATAAGGTAGCTATGGTTCGGTAATTAATTGTGTTTACACTAGCATGGGACAAAAAATTATACATACAAAATCCAACGATTTGCATCAGCTTGAAGTAAATTAATGAGAACAAACTGTAAAATACAATTCCAAACCACTGAACTTTAGAAGGGGTTTCTCAGTGACAATTACCAAGGGGACTCAAGAAGCAATTAACACAAACGGATGTCCTCTTTGTTCTAATTACCCGGGGATGAAGACATTCATCAACACTTCCGCCCCGACACCCCTTCAACCTGTTGAGGCTATTAAACAATTAATTTAATCGCTTGTAAACTGTATGCTGGTCACGCAGTGTTTTAATTACCCCTGTAAACAGCGTTTAGCTATCTCCATCTTTCCGCTCGTTCTTTTTCAACTCATTAATTTTACTCCCGTTTAATTTAATCACCGCCATCAGTTTGTTGGTAATTAGTCACTGTATCGCTTGACCCATCTTTTGAGATTGAATCGCGGTGGAAATTACTGGTCTTCAAGGTGGTTTTTGGATTTATTGGGTGCACAGTCGATTTGGTGAGTTGTTTTGTATAGTATTGGTTGGGCTGTGGAAGTATTAGAATTTTATGTTTTAGTGGCAATTCAGTGGAGCATCATGGAACATCTTTGAGTTTTAGTCAGAGGAGAAAAATCGGGACGAAATCAATTAGTTATTCTCTGTACCCCCGTGTGTTAAATTGGCGTTGTTAATTTTTAAGATAAGATAAGACTATGATTTGGTTCGGAAATTTATTTTAGTGACTTCAGTAAATTACTAGGGTAATCTACAAACGTGTATGCTTGTAGTCGATCATGTGCCTACGTTTAATTTAAATTTATGTGGCACGTATGACTTGTCTACAGTCTACAATTACTAGATCGGGGCGCGGTTGGTATTGTGGATCGAGTGAGGCATCTCTCTCATGAAGTTACGGGTTCAAATCATAGCAATCACCAATGTTTTTTTTATTTGATAATGCTATGATCATGGGGTTCTGTGCAAAACCTTAAACCATAGATTCATTTTCCTTAGACGACTCACTTCTCTAAGTCATACGATATTACTTTAATTTCCTACAAGGACACAGCACATATTAAGTTCATTTATCAAATGTCTATCATTCGATTCCTTTCAATAAAATCACCACCATACAATAAGCACGCCCGTATAATTCAGCAATACTTTTGTCCCACCCCTTCCCTGGCCGGATTCTAATGGAAGTCCGACGTCCATTAACCCCCGATTACAATATGGCCGATATTGTCACCGAATAAATAATGATTATTGACATTGACGGCCAATCGTCATACGGGCTGTCAATAAGGTTGACAAAGAGGCGTTACTGCACCGTGTAATACGCCATTATCGTCTTTAGCGCAGTTGGAGGTCCGCAGGTACTTTGGGCACATATTAATTTTTCGCAGCGGAAATCGAAACAAAGAGCCGCAGTTTGCATTTTGGCAACGGGAGCCGGGCGTGATTTATCCTGAGCTTTGGCGGCGTTTTTGACAGAGGGGAAGATCACGATCGAGAATTATGGAAGTGTAAATTTAATATTCAGTCGGTTGGTTTCCGTCTAAAGACAATATAGAAAACCGTCGCATATAAATTCACAAACTGGCTCTACGCTAGTGAAACGGTATTCGGAGAAATCGATATTAGTACGATTGGTCGGTAATTATTCACAAACTTTGATTACCTTTTTTTATTTTTTTACATTGTACCAATTAATATTCTAGTATCACGTCCAAAGATGACTACTATAATAAACTACTTAAATGAAGTAAACACAACCATAACACCTAGATAGCCTTTAAACTTGCGCTCACGAACGAACAATAAACGTAAAACCGATAAAATAATCACTTTTACAATCCTTTGTTTTAACTCGCACGACGAACGTGTGTTTCATTGTCCAATTATGCGTAGACCGGACTAACGGCTCGCTATTTATTACGCGACATTGAGATGCGCGATGACGACCAAAATACGTGATTCTTCGGTTAACTGGCTGTTTCGAAATTCAAATATGATCGGCCACTTAGGCATTCAAAGCGGGCACCTAGGCAGCTCCGAGCCTACTGATTAATGCCGGAGCTCCATGGAGGGAATTTGAAAGGGAAATGACAAGATAAGAAGTTGATACGAGCTAATGCTGGGAACTGCGACATGGGGAGTTATGACTAGATGGGATCTGACCAGGAGGAGACGGTGGAGCAGGGACCAAAGGTGAGATGGGATCCTGTCAGTGTTCTAGACTCAGTTCCAGGGAGAGGTGGATACCGGAGGAACAATCTAAAGTCCCGAAGAACTCCTCTCTGGTAGGGAGTCTTTTATTGGAGCTTAGAGGGCACAGTCTCTCGGTATTAATTTGTTGCCAGTCAGAATACGAAATAACTGAATCCAACGATGGGAGGAAGCAAAAACCAAACCTAGATGACATACTACCAGAAAATACCTAGGGCTTAGATCCAGGAAGAACTGGATGTAAGAGGTCCCGGGGGACTCTTCTTTGGTAGGAGGTGTCTGAGAGGATCTTGGGGCCACTGTTTGTCAGAAGTTAAAATTAGATTTATTTATTTATTGCCAATTACTATACGACATAAACTGTGACGTCAGACGATGGAAGGAAGCAAGGACCAAAGTCCAGAAGAGATACTACCAGGAAATGCCTAGGGCTTAGATAAAGGAAGATGTGGATATTTTAAGAACAACCGAGTTTCCCGAAGGACTCCTCTCTCGGTCTCTAACAGGTGCTTGGAGCCTCCTGATAGTCAGAAGTACAACTCAAATGATTAGACTTCATCATGAACCCAACCCAATAACAATTAATAATATTTGAATCAAATTTTGGTTCAACAGCAAACCTTTTATACAAGTCATAATGTAGAGGTATGGCAATACATCAATATAACAGAAATAGAATACACAAATGTGTATTTGCTCAGAGTCACCTACAAGTTTAACAATTTTGAACAAAAGGTTCTTCGGAAAAAAATAATTAAAAGATTCACAACTTTATGGTACAATGTATTAACAATACTACACACAAATTATCCCAAATCTTGTACCACAAACGTTAAAACAAGGTAATTGAATACACCTGAGGCGGGAATTTGTTGACAAGCTCATGCAAAGCTCGGGCCTAATTACAAACACAGTTCGTCCTTGTCTCATTTGCATCTATTCAAGCGGCCGAAAACTCGGGGACAAAAAACAAAGCTAATGAATGGTGCGCGTGTCCCATTTATTGAGATAATTAGGTGGGCAAAAACACCGTCTTTGTTGGCCGGCGATTGTCATAATAAATGTAAACGAAGGTGAATAATTCCGTTTTTTACAGAAGCTGGTGACACGCGCAACCCTTTCGTGACGCTAGTTTTTTTTCTCTTTGCGGTATGATTAGCCTAGGGGTTGACGTGCAATGGATGAATATAATTTTTTTAATGAACTGTCGGAAGTTTCTTTGGAGTGCGATTAGACACACTTGTTCTATACGGGTGTAATTTGAGGGTTTGTGTTTTGTAAGAAGATTTAATTTGAAAGGTATTCGAATGTTGTACGTCCTGTTACTAAAAGTCAAGTGTTTAATCGTTAACTCAAGTATAAGTGTGCTACCTTATAAAACTTGTGAAAATAAATAGTATTTTTTTAAATTCGAAATTCATATTGTCTGGTACTGTAATTAGTCATGTATATATAAATCAAACATTACTCAGATTTTGTTCGAACCTCTGATGACAGGGATGAAAACTGTCAAATTTGTTAATGAGTCTGAAATTTGTTTAACTGACATTAAATTTTCGTACATGATTATATCGTCCGTATTAAGTTTACTGAAACGTCATCCTTCAAAAAAATCCTTTAGGAACAAATTTTTTTTCAACATTTCTTCATAATTGCCTCTCTACAAAGCCTACAAAACTCGACACACTGCTAACTCTTGTACTGGGATCTAAGGGGATATCTACCCACTATGTATGTTTTTGAAGTTGAAGTCAACTGACCTTATCAAAGGAGTGATAGTACTCAGCATCTGTAAACGAAGGAATCAGTCAGAATAGTTACAACAAAAACACGAAGTTCTGCGTCCCGGAATAAACAATATCTTATTACTTTCTCCCCCTAGACAGTATATGAAGAAGGTATCGTTTTTAAAAATTTCGAGTTTGATTTTTGGCTGGAGATGTCCGTTTTGCCCCCCACCCAGGACCTAGGGGTGGTTTTTGAAGTGATGCCTGTGTGCGTGGATATACACAGAACTACAGTCACTTGTGGTCTTCGATGAAATTTTGCTTGTGAATGGGTACTAATTCACGGTATCTCCATACATTTTTTTTCGAAATTTAGATTTTTTTGTGATTTTTTAGTAAACCCTCAAAACATGAACAAAAAGTCGGATTTTCACAAAAAAGGCTAGAAAGATTTTGGTTGAAATTTAGTATGTCTTGGTCCTTTTAAGTCTAAATAAAATGGTACAACCCCTAATGTTGTAAATTACGGTTTAAAAGGTATTACAACTTTAGTGATTTTACCCTACCTTAGTTATTTAGCTGACACCCAACGGGTTGACAAGCTTATGGGGAAAAGTATGTGGTTTGTTAATACCGTTTATTATTTTTTGTGACATCTAATACATACAACATTTTGTTTTTAAGGAAATTCTTGAATCCACAAGACACCGAAGGTAAAATGTAGAGGAAATATATAGTAATTGACCCAGACCGCTTTAACAGTCTGTAGGTGTCTGAAGAGGAGATTTGTTTCCCGCCGAAACGCTGTACAGAGGTTATCGAGTGGGACAAAATGGCGTCGTGCATCATTGTAGCCAACTTGTAATCCATTTCACAAGTTCCGGTCCGCTCTGTTTCGCCCCTTCTTTGCGAAATATAAAAAATGATGATTTATACCCAGAATCAGACTCACCCTTTCCCACCCCCGTTCACGTCCCTTTTTGGATCTGAGAACAATTCCAAAATCTGATCAATTACACCGGAATCGTTAATGGTGAATAGTATTTTATTACCAGGGGTCCGCTGATAGATGCGCGCCTATGCGAAAGTTTGTTTTTTCAGAACTAGGGTTATTTATTACCACGTATTCGGAAATACAATGCGTCGACAATGTCGTCGAGGGGAGCTGTGGGACTCTTTGTTCGTTGTTTAATGCTTTTTTGCACGTTTGCCGGGGCGGTTTAATGTATTTTATGGTTTTCATATTTTACATTTACCATTACTAGGGCACCCGCGGCACAAAATCGAATTAATCTTAGTTCAATGAAACCCATATAAGCACGTTATATTTAGAATCGAGCAAACTCAATTCGTGTAATTCAATATTTGAAAGTGTATATAGCAAAAGTAGATTTAGATATAACCTAAAAATATGTTGATTCACTTTTTTGCAAATTTGTTGAGACTCCTAGAGCCAGGTAAGGAACAGTAGCGCTCGCCGGGGTGCTGATTTGGAATCCGCCCTCCCGAAAATGAAGGTAAGCACATCTGAGGTATTTCTCCCCCGCAGATGGCCCAGACCAGCTGGCCTTGTTTTACCTGCAGGTTAGCCACCATTCACCCGCCAAATTCCCACCCATAGATCACACTTTGGCGGGACTGGACGTAACGCTTTGTCACCTGACGAACTGATTGTCCTTCCTGATCGATCATCTGATTCTTCGAACGAACCCCCTCGGCTTTTTTGTCATTGCTCTGCATTTTTGAAAAGTTTACACAAAATTCCGTCTACTAATGATCCCTTTTCTCAAATCCCTACGGATTGCTTGGATGCTGAAAAGGCTTTGTATCTTTGTTGTCTTCGAGGAATCCCTGTGGATTAGCGGGGGTTTCGTGCAAAACAACTATCGAAGGGCCCGGGAGGTATTGAAGTTGTAGACGATTCGTCTCAGATTCAAACGAAAGCGATACAATACAGGAATATATTTTTCAGTGTAAATTGGATTAAACCATCATGTGGGTAAATAAATAGACAATGAATGGTAATTGTCCTACTTTTTAATGGCAGTTTCAGTTTCAAATGGACAAAAAAACATACTCCCTTGTGTTGGTTAGTCTGTAATGATGGTAAATTTAGACTCACTAATAAGTGATATTGGGTCATTTTCAGAGGAGGGCTAGCATTTCAACTGTGAAAACCCCACAGTTAAGGTTACGTTAAGTTGGGTTAGGTTAGGTTGGGTTAGGTTTGGTAAGGTTAGGTTAGGGAGGATAGGTTAGGTTTGGTTGGATTAGGCTAGGTTAGGTTAGTATATAGCTTAACTTACACGTTTTTTATTTACTGAACATAAAAAATCACAGAAACTCAACTTAAAATAATGGCAGTCCCCTTCTGAAAAATACTTTGTTTCTTAATACCCATGTAAGTTAGACCTAGAAACAAATTCAAATCAATCCTCCAACTGATGAAAAATGAAATCCCACAAAAATTGGGAAAAGCAAGATATTTTCCAATTTCATATAAACCGATTTTAAACCGGATTTCCACCAATTTCAAGATGTGTTCCGGGTCTAGGGGCGGCGCGAGGGTAGTTTGTCCCTGAATGGGATTAGAATCGCAGAATTAACGATGCAGCTGAGATAAAAGCGAGGGGACAGTTTCTTCCAAAATCGCGGAACAGTTCCCAAAGACGGTCTTTGTCACCTTCTCATTATGCTTGGCCCATTATACCGAACTTTTTGTTATCCCGATCATTGCCGGCCCGCAGGCTTTATACAATGCTGTATTTTGTTTACGTCGAGAGAGGTTTCCCTCCGTTTTTATTCAACGGTTTGTCCAGCTGAAACCGCGCTTTTACCCTGTCTTTGAGACGGACGTTGCAAGAAAGATGCAAGTTTGATGTCTGAAATCTGATCGTCATAGATGAGCTAAAATATGTTGTAATCGATTTAACGATGTTTAGAAATTCAATAATTGCGGTTTATTCCTTGTTGTGTAAAATTTCAAAGTTTTGAATTACTTAAAAATGCATGGAATATTAGTAAGTACAATTTTAACAGGAAAGTTATTGATTAAACTGGTATACGTTTACCAGTCACATTAAACTGCATAAGGAATTAGGTTGAAATATAGTTACAAATTATAAACTTAGATGAGCAATATAAATTGGGAATCAGTAAAGGATACATTCAAACATCGTTAGTCAATTAACTATTTCATCAATTTGAACTCCCCTACTGACATTTTGAGGTTAAAATCTTCCATCTAAATTCAATATGAATTACGATATCAATTTCAATTATTTTCAACTATATTTGAATAGTATTCCTACATATTACAAGAAATTAATTCTGATCAAATTGACTTTTACTGTACATCAAAACTAAACTCTAATCGCAAAAATTTTCGTGTACTCAACTCAAACTACGCAGTCTAGTACCTTCAACAGAGATACAAATTTGTTAATCCCAAATATTGAACAAATTAAAATTCTATAGCAATAATAAATGACGCTTTGCAATTATCACGATTATGATAGATGCATGAATAATTTTTTACATTTGATGTTTTCCTAACAAAAACCACTTGAATATACAACAGATTTGCCCCCGTGTATCGCGGTATCGCAGGGCCACTGTCACACCTGCTAGTGTTAATCAAACCATCTCAGGTCTCTGGACGCCTATAACTGGACCTGAGTCCAAATTGAATCCAGAATTGGCTCAGTGTCCGCGTCCCCGAGCTGTGGCTCTCGAATTATGGCTCTTGTAGATTCTACCTTTACATACATTTACACCTTTACATGTGGGATTGGATTGGGAGCTGACGATCCAAGTGTACACTTCGATTTAGTAACATGGACTTTGAGGTTAACATCGTAGTTTACAAAATGAGATGATTGTTGCAATGCCAAGAAATAGAGTTTTGTAAACGACATGGATGTGCTGTGATAAACTGGACAAGTACATCAGAAAAGAGGTAAGCAGTGAACAGAATCAAATGTACATTGAATATGACAACATAGAAACCCCAACCTTCTCAGTTAAAAGCTATAAGTGTGCTGGTTATTGATAAGAGGTGAGCAGTAAGCAGCAGAATCAAATGTACATTGAATATGACAACATAGAAAACCCTACCTTCTCAGTTAAAAGCTGTAAGTGTGCGGGTTATTGATAAGAGGTAAGAACTGAGCAGCAGAATCAAATGTACATTGAATATGACATCATAGAAAACCCGATCTTCTCAGTTAAAAGCTGTAAGTGTGCTGGTTATTGATAAGAGGTGAGCAGTAAGCAGCAGAATCAAATGTACATTGAATATGACAACATAGAAACCCCAACCTTCTCAGTTAAAAGCTATAAGTGTGCGGGTTATTGATAAGAGGTGAGCAGTGAGCAGCAGTGGGTGTTGAGACTCGTGGCACGCGGGCCTGTAATGCATTTCGCTTGTAGGAACGACTCGACATTCCTATTGGTATGTTACGCTCCGTGACCTCATGAATACGAACGTGAAATCGTCTCAGACCGGTGAGTTGGTGAGTTCTCGGTCAATAGCCGTGGCCATACAACACCGTCCTGCGCTGCGATTGGTCATCTTGGATACAGAGTAGAATTGATAGACATATTTGGAAAATTAGGCTTAAGGATGTAACGGGATTTTAGTATAAGTAACCTGTGCTGTACAACACCATTCTGGTCCTGCTGTCTGATTATAGTCTGTATGGTGGAACCTGTCTCCTAACCCTAGGTCTACCTGGGGAGTGACCAATGGTTTAAGGCCCGGAGAAGTCTCATGTAGAGAAAGGGTCAAAAGATTAGTTCCATCATACAGTTTTTAATTTTCTTCTGGAAACTCCAATAAGATTATAGTCTGTATGATGAAACCTGTCGCATAACCCTCCGTCTGATTCGGAAGTGATGAACGAGTTAAGGCTCGGACCAGTCCAAGGCATATGAATGGTCAGTAGACAGGTTAAATCATACAGAGTTAAGTATTTTTTTTTCTAAATCTTACTAAAACCTGAGGAGATTTGTGTTTTTCTTGAGTGTAAGCTACCTAAAGTTTATATTGATTTTACTGAATCA